GGTACTCGATCAGTGTGGTTATGAAGCATTGAGTGCTTAGGATTTATTTATTTAATAATTATTTATCAGTGCAGGTACTCGATTAGTTGGGTTACAAAGCATTTAACACTTAGTATTTATTCATTTAATAATTATTTATCAGTGCAGGCACTCGATCAGTTGGGTTACAAAGCATTGATCGCTTTGGGTATATAATCGTTTGACTTACCTAGGTCTATTATGTGTACACAAATCAAGAGCACGAAACATAGATCTAAATCCATTACTAAGAGAATTGATATTAAAAAATGCTGAAAGACGAGTAACATTTAAATTGCCACAAAAAATGTAAATTTATTTCAATTATCTATTTGTCTTTGAGATAAATATCATACAATATGTTTTTAATAGTTTATAATTACGATAAGTTAATTTTATCTTTACATAGCTGCTGACTGATTTAATTAAAATACGTGAAAAACTATCGACAATTAAGGTCATTATGTGTATGTTGTTTCATACTTAATATTATATGTATATTAGTATACGTATACTAAGTAGGTTTATAATAATCAATAATACATATTGTATTTCTTACTCATTTTCAATTAATTACATATTTTCTTAAAAATACGAATAGCTCAATAAGATAAATGTATATATATAGTGAGCCCCCCATATCTCTATGACTTGGGCGGCCTCTGGAAGCTGTGGTGTCGCTTATGAGACCAGCGGTCAGTCATTGGATTGTGTGGCCCCCATGCAATTTTTTGACCTTACCAATGGATGTGCGCCAAAACAACGACTTTCAGTCAAAGCGGGCGCATGGACTTCGCTGGTTGGAGGGTGATTGTTCCATTCGAAAGTTACAGCAAATTTGTAAGCTGTAGCAAAAAATGCACATCAAATTTACGTATATGAAGATAATACAGCCACTTATTTGGAATCAACCATAGGGTGTACTGTGATTAACATTCAGCAGTATATGGTACCATCGAGTCACATTCTTAATATGGGATATTCAACAACGGCGTTGATGTGTGGTACTCATGATGTACAAAAAAGTCTACGTAGAAAGCAATATTGCGCTTTTAGTAAAGCTCATTAAATAAAATTGTGACTTTGCTCTTTGGTAAAAAGTAGCATTGCACCAGACTCAGAATGTTTCTTAGACGCGCTTAATAGTTATAAGAAAAAAATTTCTAAAACGCTTCCCAGTAGGGATACTGTTGATGGAATTAATACTAATGATACTGATACAGATAGTGACTCGTAAACTTATACTAATGTTGGCATCAAAAACGATGACCGTGTGTAGGCAAAAAAAAAAGAATTAAGTAAGCATAAAATTTAAGATCAAGAAATTAGAGAACATTTTGCCGTGTAGTAGTACAAAGAAATTAGCGCCGTCTTATAAGCTGATGAAAATTTGCGTATTGCTTTAGTTATCCTGTGATAATTAAGCAGTCAACATCAACAACATGGGTCTGATCTTTAGCAAACCAAAATATGAGAGCCTTAGTAAGGAGGAAGAGAAGAAAGATAAAGATATCCAAAAATTTTTTATAGAAAAGCACGTTGAGGCATCTCAACCAAAAGTGAAGGGTAATTATTATTTTAAAAATATTCGCTCTTATACAAATAAAGATGGATATGATATATTAAAAAAAAACCAATAACCATGAAATTTTTGTGTATTTTTTTTGAAGCTACCAAAAATATATGTGTATTACATTTAAAGTTTTGTTATTGTTAAAACCCATTTACATACTGTCCTAAAAATCTTAAACTTAAATTCATAAGCTGGCTGAATTCCTTGGCAAGGTACTGCGTCAAGTAAGCCAACGTTAGGTGCATTTAAATGGGATACGCCATCCACTGTTTCCAACGAAATTTTTTCTCCAACAAATCGATACGCCCGCTCTTGAGAAGAACAAAAAAACCAACAATTACGCTGAGACTCTTAAAACAATGAGTGAAGAAGAAAATAAAAAAAAATATCCACTGATAAGAAATACACGTTCGTGCTTGATCATCTTCCTCTCGTGCTGTACGTTGGGCTTGTCACCTACACCTTTTGGACCCATCCTGATGACGTTGGAGCTTGATTTGCGGTCGGAAAGGGTGGGAACCGTCAGTACCATCCGATGTCACAGCATCCGGAAGAGGCCCCTTCCCCTGACGTTACCGCCCGAGTAGTCCTTACCACCCACCGCCCATACTACCTCTCCTATACCGGCCGTGCCCCTTCTCCCACCGCCTGATCAGCCTCTCCCCCCACCATCACCTCTCCTCAACTCACAGCCCAACTATAGCTAGGGCCTCTTCCTCCCCCACCACCTTAGGGGGGGAGCTGGGGGATGCCAGAACCGCCATGGCTTACCTACTTAAGTAATATTTTAGAAAATGAGCTAACCTTGTTTATACATTTACACTTTGATTAGGAATCCGCATTGTATAGATACTTACATTCGAGATACATAAGTTGCACCAAGTACTTTATACTATAGTGTACGATTTATTTGACTGCTTAAAGTGTTAATGTGTAATTAAAGTCCACAGAGCTTATGGCTAAACTGTATACACATTAAGGATGGGCCATCCAACAATTTTTACATCTAACGGGCAGATTTTTATTTTAAGCTGGTTTATTACCAATTCACTTATAAATGCTTGATACAAGAATTCGTATAATACAGACAACTGTTTACCTAATGTATTAATACACAATATTAATTCGTACTGAAACTAAGACCTAATACCTACGAACATGCACGCTTTTTTTTAATGTCAAACAAAATTGCAAAACAATGAAAGTTCATCGACATGTCACGTATCGAACCAAAAACTGCCCAGATTGGGTACAGACAATTTTGTATCGAGTCTTATCCTTATGAGCCATTTTGTACTAAGTTATTTTGTACCAAGTTTTCTTATTGACTTCCTTTTTGAAAAAATAGATGGTTTGTGAAACTTCCATAACCTTAATGACATACAGAAGCTAGAGTCTTTAAGAGAAAAAAGTAATTTCTGTACGTAATCAATTTTATTAGATTTTTTCAAAGTAACATTTGATCTTAGGCCAAAGTTAATAGACAATTAATAAAAAATAATATTCAATGTACACTATATATCCTTCTAAATTATTTCTCGATTTAAATTTTATGGTTCAAGTGATTAGTAATTATTTTTTAATGTTATGAATCATACTACAGCTATGAATAAAATTTAAGCATTTGAACTACTAAGTTTTTAGGAGATACTACGAATAAGAAGTACTTGCAAACTACTATTGGAAGGGTAGCATTAACCTTTTTACTCTTACAAAATAATTTTACGTATTTCAATGCATTACTTTCTAAAAAAAGTTACGTTTCAGATTATGCACACTAAGACATTCTTTTATGATCACAAGATGTAACTTTTCTCTCTTAAACCGCAACGAGTGGCATCGAGTTTGTGCTCAATTAATTGCTTGAAGTACATAGTTGAGAGTTTATCTCATTGTTTTAGACTTTTACTGCTAAATAATTAGTTATTAACGATGATTTTATTATTTTCGTCACATTTTCAAGCCCAGATTAAGTAAGGTAACGATAAACTCTCAAATTTGATTTCAGAAATTGATGTACTACATCAGTCCTCTGAAAATAATTTATGGACTTATTCGATTATTTATTCCAGTACTTTTTTTTATGGTTACAGTTAAAGTTAAACTTTTGCTGTAGGTCTTCCGAGCCATACCTTGTGTTGCGAAGTTTTTTGATATTACTTCAGTACTACAACTTTTTATATTAACTGATCAGACGTTTCGCTCTTGACAATAAGAAGTCTATAATTATTATGCTAGTCAAAATACAGTTTCTAGTTATTTCATCGCAGTTAACCTTGCTATTTTACTGTACCTACAAAATTTTATTAGATGTTAATCCTACTTTTGTCCTACTATGTTCCATTATCTAACTTAGGACTACTGTTTACTATATTAACAAACTTCTCAGGTAAGTGAGGTTCTATATGAAAAACTAGCCCTAAACTCAAAAGATATATTTTTTTAAAACAATTATGCAATGGCATCATTGGTCTTATCCATCAAACTTCAGGCATAAAACTTTTTTTTTTCTATTTTTCATTTTTCTTTTCTTCACTATAAAACAGAAGATTTAAAAAAAAAAAAGTTACCAAACATTTTCAGCTGTTTTTCCCGTTCACAAATATATTGCCTATTTTCTCAAGTGATAGGTTAACTTTAATATTGGTAACTTTCACAGTTGATAATTTTTAATAGTTTATTATCAGCCATACTAATAATCAGACGGAAAAGTATATTTTAATTATGGTTTTCTTACTGGTGTTAAATAATTTACTCTTTGTACAGAAAAAAGTTGGGTTGGTTAAAATAGACTGAAATAATTAAAGGTTAATGTCTTTATCAGTAATATTACTAAATCAGCCATGAAAAAAAGTTTTAATAACGTACTATGCCAAAAGTCGGAGCTTTCGACGAAAATTCCTTCCCTCGGTGCAGGATTAATGAATAATAGAATACGTACCACGCTCGGAGGTTAAGAAATCCATTAGATTTAACGTTAACCACCCTGTCGCTTCATCTCGGGCGTTTATTCACGTGGAATCTAAGACATTCTTAACTTCACTCACAAGGTGCGTAACATACTATTTGTTTACTTAGCAACGATTTGTTTTTATGTTTGCTTCGTATGAATGTTTAATAGTTACTCTAATTACAGTATTGATAGAGTCCTTAAGTGGCAAGAGGTGAAAACATCAGATTCCACACATATTTATTGTTATGAAATTAAGATATTTAATAATTTTGACTGAGTTTTCAATTTTCCATCATCCAAGTCACAAACAAAAAAAATTTTACAAGTAAAATTTAAGTAAGGTTACGTAACCATTTCTTGGTCAAAATTAAACATCATTTTTTGCATCTTCGTTACGAATAATCAAAATGATGTATTTCAACTAGACTAAATTACATCTAACTTTTTTTTTTGCAGGAAGTTATATCCTACTAGAGAAGTTGCGAAAGTATAAACCTAAAATAGCGGTGTTTAACGGCAAACTTATTTACGAAGTATTTTCTGGTAAAAAAGAATTTGGGTTTGGTAGACAACCTAATTTGGTTGAAGGCACTAATACAGTGAGTAAAATTTCGTTATTTTTTCGATAAAAGAAAATTAATTGCTCATGTTACAAAAATTTTATAAAATACTTCATTACTTCACAGTACATGTGGGTAATGCCTTCTAGTAGCGCACGGTGCGCCCAACTGCCACGGGCCGCTGACAAAGTGCCATACTACGCAGCTCTGAAAAAATTTCGTGACTACTTAAACGGAATGATATTACATCTTGACGAATCAGATATCGTATTTGCTGATACCAAGCTGAAAAAGCGTGAATACGATGCTCTTGAGAACAAAAAACCTGTCCTTGCCAGTGAAATCAACGAAGGCGAGGGCCGATTCTGTAATGGTAAGCTGTCCTACAAACATCTTCACAAAACCTTTTTTTGTTTCTGCTGAATTACTTTGCTAAATTACTTTTTTAAGTGGAATTTTTTTCGAACTCGTTGATAATCGTCCTCAGATCGATGAAATTTAAGATAATAGCTTTCAGTTTACTAATAAAACGCAGATACCATAGAATAAAGCTTGTGCATAAGGCCTTACTGTACAGACAGTCAGTTTTTCAAGTTACACTCACCTTTTGAGTGGTTTTAGAAATAATAAGAAATTTTATAAATGTCTCATTATATACAAATTAAGTAAAAAATAATATACTTGTTTAGCTAAGCTCAGTTAATAATATTGACCCCCATCAAATACTGATTGTTATCGGTATCGTAAGCTTAATGTACACAAACTGGCTAAATTTGTTTGTTATATAAATTTCATAAAATAGAAAAAAACTAAATAAAGTTTAAATTAAGGCTAGTTAGTAATCCATTAGAGTTTTTACCTTAATAACGTAATGGATTAAGGTTTTTAACTTTTAAAGAGTTATTTATGTTAATCGAAAAAAAAATTCTTTTTTTAAATACTGCTGAGCGTTTAATTACTTTCGTTAGTTATTAGTGCAACAAACAATATATAAATAAATCTATTTATTGGATTTTAGTATTAGTTTATGTAATTAACCAATAATAATAATGCAGATTGATGATAAAGCACTTTTATCTTTGTAAAGTAGTGTGCTTGTGTCGTTTTGTCAAGAACATGTGATAATGCAGATAGATATACAAATGCCTTGACTAATGAATCAATTTTATTTAGCAATATCTCTTAAGGAGAATTCATCAGATAATGCTGTGCACATTATTTTTTTTTATGTCATGAACTTTTACTTTGGTAATTATTCATTACTTTAAACTTAAACAAGTGTTTCATTAAATTTTTTACTGTGATTAATGTTTATAACAATGCTATAATCATCCTGCCTCTCAGTTTAGGCTTTTTTATAACTAGAATTGTTATTTATGGTTAAAAAAGCATTCTTGAGTATGTAACGTAGTGTACCAAAATGCTTTAAGGAGGTTTACTCATTTTTCCAGGCGGGTTGAGTGGGTATGCGGGGGGCTCCCATAATACACCATGTTAAAGTTAGTTTTACTAACTGTGCATGAAAATGTCCGCCTACTACATCATGGTTAATATAAGAGCTGTCAAAGGAGAATTATTTTATTCACTAGTTTATTGCTTATTCCATAAGCCATGAATGAAGATGAGACTATAGCTACGTAATCACCAAGTTTTTAGCTATTTTCTACAAAATTCTCAATCAAATCTTGACGTTGATTATCCACATATTGCAGGTTATGTATCAGAACAGTACTAATTTTTATAAGGCTGCACGTTAAAAGTTCAATAGTAAAATTATCAATACTTTATCAGCCATAAAAGGATTTGAAGTTTGAATCGTACGATTTTCATACACTAATTGATCTCTGTTAAAAGTATTTTCAATATATTGACGTTGATTCTCTTGGAGAGTGAACTCCTTTAACTGTGTTCAACTCATCAGTGCTCAAAAGTTAAACCATTAAATGTTATGAACAAATAATGGGGCTTACTTTAAAGCAGCTTGTTCCCAATGGTTCGAGTAAAAAAATTTGAAAACATGTTGTTTGCATGATAAAAAATAGCCTTAAAAAAAGTAAGAGGAGACTTAACTTTTTCAACAAAAGTGTGTTGTGAATTTTCGAAAAACAAACTATTTTTTGCACAGTATTGTAGTTTCAAGTCTTAAGAAAGGCTGGGCCAAGTTTTAGATCATGATTTCCAGCTTAACAAATTTTAGAAGCAACTTTATAAAGATGTCTCTGTCCGTGTGAAAAGACCAGCTGACAGCAGGCGGTGCTTAGTTCTCTCCCATGCATAAGACCTGCTCGTGACTTTGTTTACGTTTACACACATATTTTTTTCAAAAGCCTGATATTTTTTTGATATGAGAGTCTACCTTAGAAGTTAAACTATTTATTTATACTTTTTTCTTATTACAAATAAATCTCTAGCCTCGAAATTTGTGCAACAAAGGCTGAACAATCGCTCTTGTCCATAAAAGCAATGTTAAATCATGCAATGTCGGAAATTTTTATCTTGAAAATTTAGCAGGTAAAAATATTTAAAAAATTTTTATGTACTTCCAGCATGTTAAAGTACAACGCTTATTATTTTCAACAAGTGAATAAATCTCCTCAAAAATGCCAGAACTTCCTTAACTATAATTATTTTTTTATCAATTATGTATTGCATTTATCGGCATCAACAATAATCAAATGCACACCGTTATTTTTTAAATGTACTACGATATTAATGTCAAAATATATCTATACAAATCAAAGGATAAATACGCTAAATTATAGTATTTCTCCATATTAACAGAAATAAAAAGTTTATAAACGATCACTTAGAGATCAAAAAGCCGACACAGCTATATTTCTATAAGGTGACGTTTTGCTGGCTTAGGTTTTTGCCAGCGTCATGAAGCCAAAATTTTTTATTTTCTATAAACACACAAGTAACGTACAGTAACATAAAAAAATTACACATGATGTTTTACATAATGTCCTTGTTTTTCCATCGATTTATACATCTTTCAGCAATATTATTAAATGAGACAAAGACAACACAGCAAAATAAAATATGACAGATATCGTTTACAAGCTCTCCTCTGGTGACTGCCCAGTCAATTCAGTTGGACAAACGAAACGAGTGTTACAGCAGTGTACAAATAAAAAATCAGAAAAAATTAATGATGATTCTGTGGTTTCTGAACATACAAGGAATTTTGGACACAATTTTAACTGTGTCCAGTATACCTACCGATTGAAAACTAACCTCCATGGAATTGGTCCACTGGGACCAATGATCTCGACGACAAAAGGTACCTAACACTGTAAGAGATACGCGGTTTTAATGAAAATTCATAGATACTGCAGCAAAAAAAATATATTTATGTAGAAGTAACCCAGACTTTCAGTCTCCAGGAACAGCTGAATTTTGTTTAACGTTGTAAAAAAATTCTTAAAGTAAAAAAAATTGTTTTACTTTCAAATAATGCAAAAAGTATAGATAGTACGAGAAGTTTATTTTCATGTCAAATAATGATCCTAAAAAGTTCTTTAAAATATAAAAAAATTATTGCAATTAGTCATTTAGTTCGTCCACAAGAGTTAAAAAAACCACTGAAAATAGCATTTTTTTCGATTTTTAATAAAAAATTACCCCGTCAACCAAATATTTCTAAGATAAGGATAAGTTATATGTCCTAATATCATGAATGAATGCTTTAAATTTCAAATTAGTATAATAAGTAATTACTTTAAAAAACCATTTTTTCTAACAAACGTTGTTTTCGTAAAATCACTCATTAAAAAAAAAAAATTACATTAATGAGTTTTATTGGATTCTCTTATAGAAAAGTTACTTTGTCGACTGCGATTTTCATTACGTTAGTTTTTATAAATCATATTATTCAAAAACGTATACTACAAACAATTAGGTTTACACGGTATAAATAAATCGAACAACTTTTACATTTTCAGTCGTACAACGTTAAAGGTAGGTGCATACTGTAGGCACTATTTTTCTACAAATTTAAAAGAAAAAAGAGTTTTTCTAACTGATTGCTTACACAAATTGCTGGCCCTAATTGCATATCGGCATTAGGAATAGCAATGACTTTCCAATTAATAAGGAAGGACTCGCAAGTGGTGACGTCACTACCGCTCTACAGAGGTACGCAGATATTTTCCTGTCCACTTGAAAACCGTACGGATCATAAAAAATATAATTATTCCGGGAACCGTAGATCATAGAGCAACCTTATTTTTTTTTTAATTTGAAGTTTCTTGTAAACATAATACTATTTAACACATAAATTCAACATATATATAAACAATTAATATATTCCAATGAATGCAGGTGTCGTTTTTCTCGCTTTGAATTTATTTAACTTTCACAATTATTCTGAAATTTTTGGTTTAAAATAAAGCATAAAAAATTCATACTGTATTTTTAGAATAATTTTCATAAACTGTTAGGTAGGGCGTACGACATACGTAGATCCATATATTCGCAAATTTATTAAACAAGACACACATTGCTATTATTAATAGTATACGATTATCATTTCTTAAATAATTAATCATCTATTGTCTTCTCTTTCTCTTCCTATAGCAATTACCAATTGGTCTTTGTACCAGCTTGTAATGATTCTTGTTTTTTTTGCATTTCTCAATATAGTCGGCAGACGCATCCTCACCGCAACTGAAGCATAAAAATAAAAATTAAAAAGCGTATTTTTAAAGGACAACCTTGCTTTTTTGCTAACTTGGCATTTTTGCTTTCACTGCTGCGTTCTTAATCGCTGGTTCTCGTAAATATCTCATGTGACAAGAGTGGTAAACATTGACCAAGATCTTCTACTTTAGAGATACGTGCTTGTTGTCGTTTTTTTACACTTGGTATAATAAGATTGGCAATTCCAATTGTTTTTAAAGAAGTCTTCGTATTTTATTGCATTACTTTGCCACACAGAAGACACGAGATTAGATAGTCTGTCATACCAGTATGCCATCTGTTTGAACATTAATAATTTGTACAAGAAAAATGGTTGTAGTAGGTATTGTTCGATAAGTATCGATTTTTTAAATGTGAAAGTTAATAACTGTCAAAGTTTTTAATTGCATGTACTCAGTTTTAACTTAAAATATAAATTAAGAGCATTCTGATAGCCACAAGTCGTCACTTTAAAAAAAATGTATGTACAAGGTTACGGGAAAAAAAAGTTGTAACTATTTAGTTCAAGAATAAAACAGTTTTATAATTGCTTTATTAGCATTATAAGTATGATTATTGAAGCTTGCAATTGAGTTATTAATTTATAACAAGTAAACTAGGAAGTCAAAAATTAGTTAGATTAAAATATTTTTATGGGGCAGTAACGTCAATAAGATGAAGACAAACGAAACT